GGGGGAGCTGGGGTGGGCGGGGCGCTGACAACGGCGGCGCGTATTCAAGTCGCGAGCAGCCAACAGTCTCATTTTCGATCGTTCGAATGAAAGTAGTCTAGCATTCACTGACTCCGAGAGGGTGGGGGCGAGCCCTCACGTCTCGATCGATACCTCGATCCTCCCGACACTGATTGGGTGGCGCAACGACATTCGCGAACGGCAAGAATACGAAGACGGCGACGACGATGATGATGTCGGCAGTGTCGGCGGCGATCGTGGTGCACGCTCGCTGCAGCAGAAACAACTACAACAGCCAGCTGAGCTATCGTGTTGCAAGACGCCCTCTGCCGCGCCCAGCCTCCTGCCCTGCACTACCCTGCCTGCAACTGCACCGCGCAGCCCTCGCTTATGCCCGTCTGAGGCCCGTTCGGCTCGATTAGTCAGATGGCATCGCCGTGCGGTCGGCTGTCCTCGAGGATGGACTATCGGGTCGTCCTATCGAGTCTTATTACTGTTGCATTGCGTTGGCGCGATGGTCTCGTGGCAACGACCACAAATATGCGTCGCCTCCCAGAGCTCCATACTATCAGGCCCCCTTCGAGTAAGTCCCGTGATCTGTCTCTCTCTCACACTCACACATGATTTGTGACGACATGTGGGAAGGTAGGGCGCTCATTATGCACGGCAGCATCCATCGCGAAAGTGTGCCACGATCCATATGTGAACGGCAATACTGGGGCTGAGCCAAGGCTCGCACGGCCCACTTGTTATCACATTAGGCAGATGTCACTGCACTCTAAAGTTACCCAACTGATCATACGGGAGCAAATTGACAATTTTAATTTTTCGAATAAAATCCCGATTTAGTTGCTGGGATGTAGATGCTAATTATTGACTGCACTATGATTGCTGAACTTTGTAATAAGTGGAACAGAATTAACCGAGATCAATCACTGTATCACATGGTAAATTTTTAAATGGTTTATAAAGGAAAATTTGTGTTGCATGTTTATAACTATCTTTAAATATGAATGTGGAAGTTTGAAATTAAGTGTGATGTTTTGAGAAAAGCCAAAACATATTATTTAGGCAAATTTTAAAACAGAGTGAAAACAGACACTGTAGCTGCCCTTTTCTCTCGCCTCCGTATTCGTGGAAAATATATCACATGGGAATGCCCCTAATTTAAATCGATGCACACACTATAGTTGTAAATCCGTTGGTATAGCCGATGTTCTGACACTTCGCGACGCACTGTAACCGCGGACACTCACCGCTGTCCTCATGGTTGTTCTTGATATCTCGTCCACAACACCACTGTACCCTGCTGAGCGGCCACCACCAGGCTTTATACTATCAGTGGCTGTGCGCCCCGCCCCGCCACACCCCACCGCACCCCGCCCTGCCGCACCCTGCCCCGCACGGCGCCCGGCCTGGAGCCCCCCACGGGGTCCTCGCGGGCGGGGCGGTCCGCTCGCCCCGCCCTGCCTCGCCTCCACCACCCCTCCTCCGAGAGCTGGATAGCAGGGGAATTCGCCTGCATTTCGGATCGTCCCTCTCTCCTCTCACTCGCACCCCCCACCCCACCCTTGCGGCGGGGCCCATCGGGTCCCAGCCCAGCCCCCCATACGTATTGAAATGGGATGTTGGCACATGCGGGGCGGGGCGGGGCAGGGCGCGGACACTTGGACACAATGCCGATGCACCACTGCTGCACTGGGAATATGCAAACTGCACTCCCTCAGTGCCCGCCCTGCCCCGCCCCGCCCCATGAGAAGTCATGCCGATTATTCGCCGAACGCACAACACTCATTAGTAGAAAGTTTTGTTTCGTTATATCTGACTGGATGGAATGCTGAAGGCTGTTGTTAATTTTTATTTTCATCACATGGCGAGTCGGTTGATGTCATCTGCGAAGCAAGCTGTTAGCAGGAGTCTGTATAGTGTTTGTGCGCTTGTGTGCTCTGTGAAAAATAAAAAAAAAATAAAATATACAAACTTGCGAACGATTAAAGTTGCTTTGTAATTGCAAGGCTATGCGAAAAGTTTATTTTGTTATGCGAAGGGAATCCTTCGCAGATGCGAAGAAATTTCCTCCCAGGCTTACAAAGGAGCCGAAATCTTTGCAATGCTAACAAATCCTTTGCAAGTTTCTATCAGTGCACCTTGATGCGATAGCTATAACATAGGAGATGGTATGGTGTAGACGAGCTTCTAAGTGTGCCATACAGTAGGAATCACGACAGATGTTCACATAATACGGGGGTTAAACGTAAGTTGAGTTCACGTGAGCGTCGCCACTCTGGGTTTGATATACCGGGTGTCGAGTCGAAAACCCTGGATTGTTGCAGGGTTTCTCTGCTCTAGGGGCCAGGTTTGCAGCTACGGGCGGACCAAGTTTGGAGAAAGCGCGAGAGTGCAGACAGTTTGTCGTTCTCACCCTAGTTACTATTTGTATCAACACACAGCGCCTAGTGGGTAGGCTACATAGACGCAGTATGCTTCAGTGTTGTGCGGGCTGGCCTACCTGGTGGCTTGCAGGCGGCTGACGTGGTTTTGAGCCCGATATAGAGCGCCACGGGACACTCGAAAAAGAAACTTACAACCGATTGAGCACTCCCTTGATAATGAACGCCCTGGAGTGTTGTAACTAGAATCAGAATAACTACAAAGCCATAGCCAACTAGTAGTCGGAGTTGTAAACAAAGTTGTACGTGTTGGCCAACGAACGGCTGCTTGTCGGCCAGCTGTGTGAGAGTCTGTGAGTGAAAGCCATATAACGCCACTGCCCACCTGTGAAACAGATGCAGCTACCAAGGGTGCCGAGACCATGCCGCTGAAAGATTATTTATTGTTATTTTTTTCAAATTTTTGTTTAATTAATTTTTATGTATTGTAAATAAACCTTCATGCTGGCGGAGTTGCGCTCATATCTCGTTTACTGTTTTGGCTCTGCATAATTGAAGTAATAATGGACGCGGAGAGCACGAGGTGGATAAGGCTAGGATAGGTAGTCCGTCCGGCGGATTGTGGAAGCGGTACTTGCTTTGAGCATAAAGATAACATCGGGCAGCTCCCCTAGAGCAAGTGGCGGTGGAGGCGCAGCCAGGAGGAAGAGCGAGAGAGAGAGAGAGAGAGAGAGAGGGGGGGGGGCGGAGGATGGTGGGGGCATGGGCGCGAGCGGGAGCGGGGCCGCGGCCTTGAGCGCGCGGTGGGCCGACCTTCACCGCTCGATACGTCGGCCTTGGGGCTGCCGCTGCTGACGCTGCCTGCACCGCCCCAGCGGCCCGTTGCGGCTGCGGCGGTATCGCCAAGCCTCCCCTCTGGCCTCACATAAACGCTCGTCATCGGCGTCTCGACGGATTTGCGACACGACGGCGGCTCCTGACCGCCACCAAAAACCGATGGCGGCGACGATTCCGAATGGGGCGTTTGTCGCCTTATTAACGGCGTGACTCGCCTGCTCCGGTCCGCTGATGAAGATGACGATGATTTGAAAGGCCAGGGGCCAGGGCTGCTTGGCGGATTATTTGGGGCGTGTCTCTGGTACTTGCGCTTGCGCGAGGGAAGACGCAGGCAAAAGTGTAGGTCCTCCCCGTCCTCGACGGCGTCCTGTGTGACGTGCTTCTCTTCCCTCCTCCCCCCTCTCTGTCTCTCTCGCTCTCCTACCCCCTCTCCCTCCCTCCCCATCTCTCTCATCACGCCTTGCTTCCCAAAGCCTGCGCGCGTGCGCGCACACACACGCACATGAGCCACATGTAAAGCATTTCGGCAATACCGTTTCCTCCCAGACTGTCTGCGCTGCGCCGTGCTATGGCGGCGGCGGGGTTATTGGCCAACTGGTCCAGCGGAGAGAGGAGTATGGCGAGTGTGAGATTGAACGGGATCAAAAAGGGGCGTCAATGATGGGAGGACTTCGCAACGAGCGGCGCCACGGTGGCGGCCGCAGCGGGGCGTTGCTTTACCTGCCCCGTGAATCTTCCGTAGACGTTTGGCCAGTGTTATTCCTTATTTTTTATTTCGTGTTCACCAAAGGGGTTGGAATTCTATGAGGAAACTATGTGGAACCGGTATTCGCGACGCCCGGAAGGTCCGCTGTTATGGCCTGTCCCGCGGCACCCCGGCGGCCACCGCGCCGCTGCACTTAGGCCCCGCTGCTGGCTATCTCTCAGGGCGATCGCTTTGCCATTTATTTCCGCGATTCCCTTCGCCACCCAATTTGCAAGTCGTGATGCATTAGTGTTGTTCAGAGGGCCTCCGAGGCCGACCCTGAAGGATCTAACTTATTCGTTTTGCGCGATTTTGCTGAAATAAGCAACCAAACTTAGCAAATAGAATGGACGACGGACGTCACAATTTTCGCAGCCATTGAGCCACATTATTTTTGATAGTACAATTGGCCAGGGAAAGAGCGGAAGTTGGTGAAAATATATGTACAATTATTGTTACTTCGTAATAACATTAAGTTGGCAATTTAATTAAGTTAACAAATATTTGCATTTTTCCACAAGAAACGTGGGTTAATTTTGAGGGCAAAGTCACAGGTCACTGTCATTAATAGAGATTCTACGTATTTTTCTTGACGTTTTCTCATACAACTACACTTTTCAAACAAGACAGACACACCTGCTTTGCTAAAGCGATCTGTTTATTTGTATTGTCTGAGAGTACAACGTGGGCCGGCCCGCCTCCTGGCCACGCCCTGCGCGAGCGACGTGCCAGCCGAGCGCTCGTCCGTCTCGTCCACCCATCTACTTTTTGCGAGTTGCCAAAGCAAATGACTGTTGGCGAGCGAAAGGGAAGGCTAGGCGGCCTATTAGCAGTGCAGAGGCGGGTGGGGCGGGAGCGCAGGGCCGGGCGGGCCGCGCTGAGGAGGGCCGAGCAGGGCAAGGTCTTGGCTGCTCGGGGCTGGAGCTGGGGCAGCCAGGGTGTTCGCGTGCAGTGCACGTCCCATCAGTACTACTAGAAAGAAACGGATGCGATTAAAAATAAAATAACAGCTCCTTGAGTAATTTCTTTGTTTCTGATTTTTTTAAATATTTTTCAAAGTCACGAGCAGGCCGCGCACCTCTCTATTCCGGTCGCGAGCCTCCTTGCCGCGCGCTCCTTCGCTCCGCCGTCTGCCGTCTTTTGTCTTCATTGGTCCCGTTTCCACGCCTATCAGCGCCTCATAGGACATGCCATATAGCGCGACGCCACCGGGTAATCCGTGAAAACGACGTGAGAGAGCGGCAAGGGCGGATAAGGACCAGCCACATGTTACGTCACGTCGAGGTCTCTCTTTCTATCTCACTCTGTTAAGATGCCCGACAGATGCCTCA